AGGGAAGATGTAATTCCATGGTTTGTAGGATTATTATATTATGAGCCACTTGTTATAAAGATTGAAAATAAAAAGAGATGGAAGACAGTTTAGCTCAAGCATAGAAGATTGGGGACAATTCAAAAAGTTCATGGAAAATGCCCATTATGAAAATAACAATACATGGATTCCAAAATTTTTGCACTAAAATAAACTTGAGTTTCAAGTCCATTTTCTCACAAAAATGAAGTACCCTTTTAAGAAGAAGCCACAGTCAACTGGAATACACTCCTGACATTCAGGCTTTGACTTTACTGCTTGTACCTGTACATTCACGTTTGTTGGCTGACCCCAGAACACTGGATGAATGGTCTACACTAACATAAAATTGTCATGCTTTTTGCTAGTATTCCAGTTGGCCTATTTCTGATAGGCTGATCGTTTTAAGAATTACACTTAAGATGCCAGAGAAGAGTACTAAAGTTCACAACATTAGACTGTCAAAGTGTTTAAAATAAAAATACTCATTCCAAAAGACATGAGATATTTTGTGTGCCTTATCAAATGATGCCACTTTGACTTTGCTCTCATCTGTTAAAACATCCCAAATCCTTGGTCTTAGAGGTCTCAGAGAAGTTCAATAGCTGTCCTTCCTCTTACATCCATCCTGAATAAGTGTAGAAGTTATCAGTTATCTTTGGGGAAAAGAATATGGGCTTCAGAGAAACCATTTGTTGCTTGGTTGTGAAAGTTGAAGGACTATTACTCACTTCTGTGACTCGGTTTTCTCATCTGCCAAACAGGAATAATACTGACTTGTATTGTAGTTGCTTCACCAAACTCAGAGATGCTATGAAAGAAAAATTGCCTAAGTAACTAAGTAATATATGGAAGGTTTAAAATCTAATTGAGGGGCAATCATTGTGGTACAGCAGGTTAAGCCACCATTTGGGATGCTCACTTTCCATTTTAGAGTGCTGGTTTGAGTCCCAGCTCCTTTGCTTCCAACCCAGTTTCCTGCTAATACAATTGGGAGGCATTAGATGATAGACCAAGTACTTGGCTTCCTCTCACTCACGTCGGGGACAAATGGAGATTCTGGTTCCTAGCTTTGACCTGGTCCAAATCCAACTGTTGTGCGCATTTGGAGAGTGAACCAGCATATGGAAAATCTTTCTTTTTTCAGTCTCTCCTTCTGTCATTCTGCCTTTCAAATAATTAAATTTTTTAAAATTTAAAAAGTAACTAGTATATACTAAATTGATCTTCTGTATATAAAGATAATTGAAAATGAATCTTGATGTGAATGGAATGGGAGAGGGAGTGGGAGATGGGATGGATGTGGGTGGGAGGGAGGTTTTGGGGGGGAAAAAGCCACTGTAATCCAAAAGCTGTACTTTTAAAATTTATATTCATTAAATAAAAGTTAAAAAAATTAAAAAGTAAAACCTAATTGAAAAAACTCCGAGGATTAATAACCCTATGGATCTCTGGATGTGTTTTTGTGTGTGTGTGTATGCATGTGTGTGTGATACCAATCAATACTAAGTTCAAATCCAGTAGAATTCCCTGGAGGTGAAAATCCTGACAATATCTGTAGATAGGGTCCTCTTTACTCCTATCATTTGGTAACATCTCGGAAGTGATCCAAAACCCCAAATGCAGTAAGTGTGTCCTCAGCACCATATCTTTAGTGGTGGGTAGTGTCAATTCCATTAGTACATCAGGAGAATTCTGTGCTCATCAGGTTCTTTTTAAAAATATTTAAGTCTTTTGGAAGAATTATCTATTTTATCTATTTGAAATGCAGAAAGACAGAAAGAGAGAAAGAGCTAGAGCTAGAGAGAGAGAGAGAGAGAGATAGATAGCGATCTCCCATCTACTGGTTCATGCCCCCAAGTGCCCACAACAAATAGGGCTGAGCAGGGTTGAAACCCAGGACTTGGAACTAAATCTGGAGCTCCCATGTTGTGGCAGGGAGCCAAGTACTTCATCCATCATGTGCTGCCCATCAGAGTGTGCATCAGCAGGGAGCTGGTAGGTACAGCACAGTCAGGGCTGAAACGCAGGCACTCCAATATGAGCTGTTTGTGTCCCAGTGAACATCTAAACTGCTATGCCAAACCCTCACCCCCAGCCAGGTTCTTTTGATAATGTAATTAAATCTGAGACAAGAGATTTTAGACTTTCGTTCTCCTCAATTTCTTCTCTAATTCTTGGTCAAGTTACATTTTATTATATTTTTTAAAGAAAAATTAAAAAAAATTATTTAAGTTATACAAGTTTCATGTATTTCATGCATACAGACTTAGGAACACAGTGACACTTCCTACCTTATTCTCCCTCCCGCCTATGCTCCAACCCTTCTTCTTCCTCCCTTTCCTATTCCCACTCTTAATTTTTACAAAGATCTATTTTCAATTTACTTAACATTCATAAGGTGAACCCTACACCAAGTAAAGAGTTCCACAAATAGTACGAAGAGAAGGTCACTGTTCCTCAACAGAAGAGACAAAGGCTGTAAACTAAATCAGCAAATCTCAAAATGTCTATCTCACTCCAATACATTACATTTTAGGTACTCTATGAGTTACCCCAGATCAGGGAAAATATATGATATCTGTTTCTTGAGGACTGGCTTATTTTGCTAAGTATAATCGTTTTCAGTTGTATCCATTTTGTTGCAAAAGACAGGATTTCATTTTTTAATGGCTGAGTAGTAATACTCCATAGTGTGTGTGTGTGTGTGCATGTGTGTCTGTGTTATTCAAGGATTATGTTTGCCCCAATAACTTTCTTAGTGTCTTCCTAAAGCCAATCTTCTTGATTTGAAGAAAGTGAATTTAGTGGGTCAGGAAGGGAATTGGGAGGACAGGGTTCTTATTAGGCATTTTTGCCTTGATTTGTTTTCCAGAGGTAAAATAAAGGAAGTCAATTGTACATTTCATGGGAATGTTTTTATGGATGGACTTCTTATCACTCTGTAAAGCAGACAATAGATAGATCACCATAGCTTATGCTACATAAATTTAGATGACACTGCACTGCTCAAAGCTTAGAATAGTTACATGATGATGCAAAAATGTTTAGAAAACCCAAGACTCAGCTCAAAATAATCTTGAAATGTACATGTGACTTCTCATTCTTTAATCTTGTAATTCTCTGTTTTTATTCTGTCAAAGTTTTCTTCTATCCAGAGAATTAAGAGAAACTCTGTTGAACAGTTTGCCAAAATCTGCCTGTGCCCCTTTAGTAAAACTATGCCTGTGAAGAAGAAGAGGGTAAAGATTATCTCTGGAATTCCTCTCTCTCTCTTCTGAAACTGCAGCCCTGAAAAGCCTCCTGAAGTGACTTCATTCCTCAATATATTTTAAGCAAATGCAGAAATAAACCTAGCCTTTTTAGTTAGTCATTCTTCACTTAATATTTTTGAAGTATGATAATGCATAAGGTTTTCCAAAGTTTGAAATATAAGTCAAATTCTTAAAGGAGATTCTATCATTCCACCCAGCTAAGAGTGTGTGCAATAATGGTGCGTGCATCCGTGTGTGTGTGTGTGTGTGTGAAAAAGCAAATGTAAAAAAAGTGTAGGCTAAAATGTCTAAAACAATTATAGCTACTGGATATTGAACTTCCAAAAATAAATTTAAAAAAATGAGTATTTTGGTATTAAGGCTTATTCAATTATTCAAAGAGATAAGCATGGTTTCTTGAACCAGTACTTAGATGACTTCAAGGTCTCCTGCTAAAGTTTACTCAGAGTAGAATTTCCCCTCAAAGCAGCAAGATTCAACAACTATATGTTTTTATAAATGTTGGTTTCAATTTTAGAACTTTGCTTCTTGCTAGCATTCCTTTTATCAATATATGGAATACTAAGCTATGATTTGACTCCTCTAAAATAAAGGAATTCTCTTTATTAAACCTCTGATTCATACAAGTAATCAAACAGTTCAACCTCTTAACACACAGTTTTGCTTGTTTGGCACACATCCCACTCATGGCCATTTTTTAGAACCGTGATAATGGTATGCGTTCAGTGATATTTTAAACAAACCTGTTTAGTGCTTCAAAAAACATAGGAGGATGTTATATGACCTAATAGTGTTCCATTTTTAAAAGATTCAAAAGGAAATGGCTGACTGAGTATAGGCTCTCTCTGCTCTCCTCTCTCATATATGCCTTCACTTCTTGCACCCTGTTCACAAAACACAAGTACATGCTGAGTTTCTTTTGCTTCTTGTGAGGCAAAGAACAGAAACAACTGCCTGATCAATCTAATACTGATGAGCTTTTACCCAAGACTATAGGGTTAGATGAAGAGTGGTCAAGATCTGAAAAGAATGTGAGTGATCATTGGTTTTGTGGGAGCAATGATGATAATATTGCCCAAGAGACTTAGTGTCAAATCCTGAAGTAGTCTTCATAATTTGTCATGGAAAACTTTGAGATAGACTGGGCCACCAAATCTCCAAACTAACAAAATCATCAGATAGCATGTGAGTGGTGAGATTAGACAGATTTTATTCAGCCTTCATGTCCTGGTGAATGCAACACGTTGTCACACCAGCATTAGTTCACATGTACAGATGAGGAAAAGGCTCCTCCTTTGGGCAGATACAACCAGCTGGGCACATGGCTGTGAGTGGAGCTCTACTGGATTCCAACATCCTCTTGTCATCTCAAGTAGGAAATCTCAGGCAGGGTGTAAAACTGAACAACTGGACGTAGAGATCTTATTTAAACAGACTCTCTCTCTCTCTCTCTCTCTCTCTCTCTCTCTCTCTGTAGTGCTTTACAAAGCATAAGACAAAAATAATATAACTAGATCATCTATCTATAACCATGACGAAGTAAGACTCTGTTGATTGGAGATTGTAGAAATTCTATAGCAAATACCACATTCATTGCGTAGACACACAGGTGAGCATGAAATGATACCTAATAAAGATTCCTTGTCAGAGAACAACCAAGAAAAGTCCCTCTTCTGGTAATTGCTACCAGGAGAGTTGAATACTTACCACCATCTTCAACTGCAAAATGGAACATATCACTTGTGGTGTTAGCTCCTTTTCTTAAGACATAGCATATTTTCATGTCATCAATGTCAGCTAGAAAATAACCAAAAAAAAAAGTGATGGAGTAAGACTTGTGACTCATTTTTGTGGGAAATCCTACTGGTTACGACTTATCTGTCAAGATATTTAGATCCTTTCCTCCTGCTAAGAGGAACAGTGCTATCAAATGTCTCGGGTCCCTAAGCCCCTTGATTTCAGCTGTCCACTGGAAATATGATCCTTTATACAGACAGAGTGCAAGAGTTAGGTTATAATAATAGCAAGGTGTTGCCCCTCCCAGTGGTATTTGCATGCTCATACACCAAAGGAGTGACTATCTAAATATGGAATGTCAGATACCATGACAGGTGGAAAGGAAGATATTTTGAGTCATGGCAGGTTTCCTGGACTCTTGAAATCACATCTGCCTCCCTAGAGGACTGGACTTCAGAGGAAAGAGACTCTTCCTCTGCATGCTGGCTCCTCTTCTGCTTCTGCTTCTTTTTTAAACCTTTTGTGGTGTAACAGGCTTCTTTGAAGTTATTCAAAGTTTAAAAGAACTAATAAAGGAGATATTGTTTTTAAAATCCCACTGATTGCTATAACTATTGCGACTCAGTGTTAAGGAGAACTTAGAACAAACAACATCCAATAAAAGTGGAAATCCTATTCATTGTAGAAAATTATGCTACCTACTCTAGCAAATTCACTTATAATGTTTTGTTTTCATTACTGACAAAAAGTGCTTTTTAACATTTATTTATCCATTTTGCCAGTTCCTCTTATTAATTATGCCACACAGACAATATTAAAAATACATATTTTATTCCCTGATACAAGATTATGATTTGATCTGGGCCAATTAGAGAGTTTTGAAGGCTACATAAAATCAAGATCATAGCTAGAAATAGATTCAACAACAGTATGTAGTGTCTATGTAGTATCTGTTTGTGTAGACATCAGATTCTAGTACATATCCTACAGTTTTCAATTTCCTAAAGCTGTACTTAATTCCTGATGTGGAATTCAAAGTTATCACATATAAGATAATGACTTCAGGAAGAATATCCACAAGTGGGCAAAGTATTAGGATCAATGAGTTAATTCCTTGAATTTTTATAATTTGACTTCACAGATGTGAAACATGTGCTCTTTTCTGGCTTATACAGTTTGAAAGGTGAGCCATATGCCGCCAGAAATACCTTGGCAGGGGGTGGGGTTGGGTAGCGGTGGTGGTGGTGTTGTGTGTGCTTATCTGATTTGATAGCTCATGTTACTTTCTTGCTAACAGAGTGCTTAGAGGTGCAGAAAGTCTCAGAGTTTTTGCTTTTCTTTATCACTCCATGTCTAACTCTATAAAAATTTCCCAGACCTTCCTTCTAGTGTCATTTTAATCTTTCTCTATGACTATCTTAACTAGTAGACCAAACACTGCTGGGATTTTTCTTCATCTTAATTTCCCGCATCCCTGTGTCCAAGGTCTATAATCATCAATAAAGGCTTGACTGTTTCCTAATTTAAAAGGAAAGAGCTGAGTGGCCTGGTACATCACACACAAATCTCTGCCTTGAATGTGCAATGTTTCCATAGGGGCCAGCACTAAAGCCCCCAAAACACTCTTTGCCTTCTCATCCTTACAATGCTTAACTTTTACAGCCTTTACTTGATCAGTAAAGAAGAGAGTGAACTTTGCTGACTACACATCCTGGCCACAGGGACAGTGACCTCTGGCCCTGGGGGGAAGATCTTTATCCAGCACTTCCATTCCTTGTTAAATGTTATAAGAAAATATAAAGACTGAACAAAGAGAAAAGAAAAAAAAAAACTGTAGAGTACACTCATTATGTGTAAATGTTTTTTAATCAAAAATACAGCATCATGGATATAGTTTCATGAAAGTAAGTTACTGCTTCAAAAGTGATTTTTATGAACTGTTCCTTAAGGTAAAAAGAACACGAACATGTTTTATGACACCCAGCTGTCAAATTTCTCCTCCAAGTTAGGGCATGCAGCATTGATTACTGGCAACATGCTATAACCCTTCTCACTTTCCTAGCAGACCTGGTAACTACACCTGGCTCAAACTCTGGTGGGAATTTCTGCTCCCCTGGAATTGATTTTTAAGGTATCCACCCAAGATATCATTAGGAAAAAATAATCCAAGTACTTGAGACAAGTGATTTAGACCCAGGGGTTGGGTATAAAACTAGTATTCAAACAGTACTTTATACTTTGTGTGTCTGTGTGATGCAAACTGTTGAAATTTTTTTAGTATATACTAAGTTGATCTACTGTATATAAAGATAATTAAAAATGTATCTTAATGAAGAATGAGATGGGAGAGGGAGTAGGAGATTGGAAGGTTTGCAGGTGGGAGGGTGGTTATGGGGGGAAAACCGCTATAATCCAAAAGTTGTACTTTCTAAATTTATATTTATTAAATAAAAGTTTAAAAAAAGAAAAAAGAGATAAAGTTTGGAATAACCAAATAACTTTCCTAATTCTACATTGTTAACTTTTCTTTAATAATGAAATTTAGTAAGTTTTTAAAATGAGTGTTTTTCTGGTAGTAATTTAGTCATTCAATTTAGGAAAAACTTTCTCTATCAATGCTAATTTGACTTAATTCAGTGCATCAAATATCCATCAAAATATAATTTGGCATATGCCTTCCCTTATAAAGTGACAAAAACAGCAAAAAAAATCTGCATATTCTTATTCTAAACTCTGCTTCCAGTTCTCCTAACAGAAGAGCAGCCACAACAGCTCTCTGATGGAGTTTTCTCCATTTTAATCACTTATCTAATCTCCATAAATAACTACTCTGAACTGAACTCTAGCCTCGACTTGTTCCAATGAGTGCTGTGTGATTTTTCTAGTCAATATTTGGGTTCATATTGGAATGCAACAATTTCCCATAAAAGCTAATTTTTTAAAAGATATCATCACCTTTTACAATAAACTTATAGCTACTCTGCATTTATCAATAACATAAAAATTATATGTTACTCAAATTCATTCAGAGAAACAACAGCCTACAATGAAATAGCATAATTTTAGGGTTCAATATTTAACAAGCATTATTCTAATATTTTGAGCTGCTGGACTTGGACCACAGAATTAAATGAAATTCACAGGTCTGTCTGCATCTAAAAATTCCTTTAAAATCTCCAAACTCAGATTCCTTTTTTAAGTCAGAGGAGTGATTTGAAGCACCCTTCTCTATGTTCTGATGTATTCCTTTCATCCTCTTCAGTTTCCATGAAAATAAACCAGTCTAAGATTGCATGGCATCTCTATCCTCAGAAAGCTTCACACAAAAGTTTCCTGCTGGCCTGGCATGACATTTGGCACTCAGGTTTTCCTGTCCCTGCAGGCCTTAGGATATATTCAGGCTTTTAGCCAAGAATCAGGAGGTTGGGGTGTGGGGCTATTTGCCAGCATCTAAACAGAGAAGCAGTTCACTTTAACACTACATTTCACTACATCCATGTTTATGAAAGCATTTGTTATCTAAGAGTACACCATGGTTGCAGGAAAAGAACACCCCCTCTGGGATGTCCTTGCCTGCAACTTCATCTCTACTAACAGAGACCGCATAGAATAGATCTAGTTTCCATTCTGACATGGTGCGATTTTCATGAAAGCAACCAAATCCCTTTGTGATGAAAGTTGCACATTCTAGAAACACAGCTCTAACTCCCAAACCAACATGCTGAATGGGCTTCTCCCTTCCGTCACTGAATAACCCTGCACAGGTCACCTGCCCTTCCTGTCTCAGACTGTGTTAGCACACAAAGAAAATTGAGGGTAGAAAACCCTGTTCTCTCAAGAACGCAGGTGTTTGAGGCAACTGGTATTTGTTACTGTGCTTGCAACAGGAAAGAAAGCAGGTTGGAAATGATGAAAGAATTTACTCTTTCTGCTACTAATCTTGTTTACACATCTTCATGTTCTTAATGACACACTGGAGGTAGGTTTTGGAGATGAGCATATTGTATTTTCATATCTCATTAAGAATTCTCTCCTTTTTTGTTTAAACTATGGAAGCACGCCCTTTTTTTTTTTGATAGGCAGAGTTAAACAGTGAGAAAGAGAGAGACAGAGAGAAAGGTCTTCCTTTTTCAGTTGGTTCACCCCCTCAAGTGGCCACTACGGCCGGCGCATTGCGACTGGCACGTTGCACCAATCTGAAGCCAGAAGCCAGGTGCTTCCTCCTACTCTCCCATGCTGGTGCAGGGCCCAAGGACCTGGGCCATCCTCCACTGCCTTCCTGGGCCACAGCAGAGAGCTGGACTGGAAGAGGAGCAACCGGGACAGAACCGGCGCCCCAACCGGGACTAGAACCCGGGGTGCCAGTGCCACAGGCGGAGGATTAGCCTCCTGAGCTGCGGTGCCTGCTGGAAGCATGCCCTCTTGACATCATCGTTATAACTCTAGATAAGACTTCTGTTTTTGGACAGGTATTGCCTGAGTCATGAAATATTACAGATTTTTTTAAAAACAATCTGAAAGTAAATATAAACAAGCCCTTATTTTTCTTTTAGCTATAAAATCCCTAACAATTTTAACAGTAACAGAACAGTGCTCTTAAAATTAACCAAAGTAACATGAATTTGAAGTCTTTCTTTCTGAATTGCAATAGATAATGATAACACTGTGAATAAATACAATTTAGATGTTTGAAGGTGCTAAGATGCTTCATGAACTATATGCAGCATTTTAAACAAAGAATTCTCAGGTTTCCTAGCCAATAATTCGGGTTCATAGGTATGGCAAATGCAGCAGGATTGGAATGCCTGCTGGTTTTAATTCCAAAGTCTGGCTCCTGCCCTGAGTGTACCTTGTCACTGTCAAAACACTTCTATTACTCTGTAATGACAGTCACTGCAGTGGGACATACAGTGTTAAGGGGTCTGTCCTCCAAGGGAACTCAGTCTGTGTGTTCTCCCCTTACCTTCCCTGGCCCCTCTCCTTGACCTCTTATTTTATGCATTCTTTGTATGGCTTTCAGTGGCAGCTATCTTCTCTGGAAATGATACCTGGAACACCCACTGGTTATAAGGAAATTGATACATACCTTGGGTAAACTGAGTGACGCTGTGGTTGCCTTTGCCCAGGTTGAGGAGATAACCATGTTGAGGGGCTTCTGTCACAATAAACCTGAGAGAAAAGTGTTGGCTGTCTCTGTCCACCACTCTCAATACTTTGTTTGTGATCATGAACCCCAAGTGTCCAGTGGCTAGTGTGCGAAGTGTGGAGGCCCCTTTATTCACTGCAATTTGGGGGACACTATTGTCAACAGCTAAGACTTGGATCTTCATCACTTGGGGTCTCCTTGTTTCAAATACTGTATCAGGAAAGACATAGAAGTCGGCGTGGGTACCGTCTGTTACTGTGAAGGAGAAGCTGTCTTCACTTGACTCAGTGCCATCATGTTTGTAGCTGATTAAGTTTTCATTCAAGTCTTGCTTGGTAAAAACCATGACAGGTCTGGTATTGTTGAAAAGAAGATGACCATGAACAGGCACCTGGGTGACAGTGAATTTCAGGAGTCTGTCAGGTGTATCTCTGTCTTCCACTGTGAGTTCAAAGGGAGTGATAAGCTTATTTTCATTTTCACTGACAACCAGGTTATGGATGGTGACCACTGGCTTCTTGTTGTCCACATCACTAATGGAGATACGGAATGTCCGGAAAACAGGGTTGTGTCCATCAGTGACTTGAAACTCAAAACTGTCCATCTTCACCTCATCATCGGCTGTGTGGATGTAGTAGATTTTGTTGCCAGCCAGTTGTAATTGAGTGAAGGACATGACGGACACTCCTGGTTGATCTGTGCACTCTAAGTGACCTCTCATGGGGGCCCTGGTGATGGTAAAAACTAAATATTCATCAGGGCTATTCAAGTCACTGGTGCTTAGTAGGTCTGTTGTTAGCGTGACTTTGCCACCTTCTTTCAAGGACACTCCCTTACTTATCACATCAGGGAAGACAATGTCAATGCTCCCAATGGACACATAAAAGTAGCGATCTATGAGAGCGTTTATCCCATCAGTCACATCAAATTTAATTAAGTCCCGAATGCCCTCTTGTCCAGTATGGACATACTGGATTAAGTTTCTGTCCACTTCCTCCTGGGTAAAATTCATGCCCAGGGTGATGTTTTCAAGGGCACCCATAGGTCTCCGTCTTTGTAGTAAGCCATGTCTGGGCCCATAACGAATAATATAAACCAAATATTTGTCTTCAGAATCTAAGTCAGTTGCCATTAGTATCTTGTTGGAGATGATTTTTGTTTCCCCAATTTCTATTTCTAGTCCATTATTGATGGTCATTCTGGGAGTCTCATCATCAACAGGGATAACCATGATGAGGACCATCTTCTCCACAGAGTGCTTGCCATCAGTCAGTTTAATTACAAAACTGTCTTCCTGTGTCTCAGAGTCATCGTGCTCATAAATAATGCTGGAACTTTCTACGATCTGGTCCAAGGTGAAGCTTTCCACCAAAACTGTGCCATTTATCAGCTGGTTCATGATGTGACCATGAGTAGGAAATCGCGTAATAGTGAAAGTTAAATCATCTGGGGGAATGTCGGCATCGGCAGCATTGAGGATGGGTGTATCAATGACCAGACTCATGCCTTCCATCACCATAAATTCTCTCATAAACATTTCTGGTTGTTCATCATTGGTGGGTATGATCACTATGGGAAAAAATTGTCTCTCTGAGAAATTAATGCCATCAGAACAACGAAATATGAATCGATCTTCCACAGGCTCCACACCTTGATGGACACTCTGGATATAGTTAATGTGACCCTGCCTGAGGTCTTTTAGAGTGAAAGCACTTACAGCAATCCCTGCTCTTGATTTTTCAGAGCCTGGTGCTGGAGAAATATTTTCAACATAACCTGAGGTAGGCTGAATAATTATAGTACACAAGATGTCATCATTCAGGGAGTCAATATCTTGAGCACTTATATGAGTTGAGGTTATAACACTTTTATCACCTTCCAGTACCATGAACTGTTCACCCACAGATATTTCTGGAGGCTGGCTGTCCACAGGAAGGATGGTCACCCACACAGTAACTCCTTGGATTGTATTGCCACTGATTCTCCATTCTTGAGATGTATCTGACAGGCTCAGGTTAAAAGAGTCTGCTTTGGGCAACAGGCCTATCTCACCACTGGTGTGCGCATAGACAACAGAGCCTTCCAAAATGTCCTGTTGGGTAAATTGCTCTGCTGGAGCTCCATTGACCAGGATTTCCCCATACAAGGGTGGATCTTCCAAAAGGAAAGTCAACATCAAATCATCAGTGCCCTTATTGGTCCCCTTAATAACACTGGCAGTGATTTCAGTAGCCCCATTTTCTAGGACATCTAAATAAGACTCCAGAGTGCCAGCAGGAAGGTTCAACATGGGTACCTCATCATCCACTGGCCGGATGTTCACTCTCAGAGTTATGGGCACCACATGGTGTCTGTCGCTGACTTCCAAGGAGCAGCTATCCGTCAGGGAATCATCTCCATTATGTGCATAGGAAATCCGACCCTGTTTGATGTCCTCCAAGTGGAAGATCCCTCCAACAGGCAGGATCTGCCCAGACACTTGCACCTGGCCATGCTTGGGTGCCTGTGTGAGAGTGAAAGAGATATGGGCCATATCAGTGTCCACATCATGGACATGCAACTCAGTCTCACTCAGGATATGGTGGCCCTTCTCCTGAATGGTGAAGCCAGTGTTTAGGATTTCTGGCGGCTGGTTGTCCACTGGCTGCAAGTAAAAGGTGAACGTGCCTGGAGCCACATTCCCAGCCTTGTCCTCCACCTGAAACCGGAACTGGGCCACTCGAGCAGCCACTCCTAGTTCTTCACTGGGAGGTCTGTAAGCAATTTTATGATGGTTGATCTGGGCTTGGGTAAAATGCGTCACCATGACTGAGGGGTTGTCACTCAGGACCAAGGTGCCCAGCGGGGCTGGCGAGTGGTTTTCATCTGTGTCCACAGGGGGCTGGGTAACTGTGTAACGCAGTTCTCGGTCATCTGTGTCCAGGTCTGTGTAGCGCAGCCACTTCTTCCTCAGTGGTGTGAGCTGGGATTCCTGCACCACCATCCGAAGAGGGCAACCACTGCCCAGCTCTGGAGGCAGGCGGTCCACAGGATGAATGCGTACCACAAACTTCTGCAGCCCAGACTGATTAGGGGGATCGTTGTTATCCTGGACTCTGAATGTGAGCTGGTCCATGACTGGTCCAGGACTGTGGGGCCCAGAGTGTCTATAGAACAGCCTTCCCTCTGTTATGTCCTGCTGCCGCCACTCTGTCACTGGTCGCTCATAAAATGCTCCCTGCTTCTTCCATTGGCCCCTGGTAAGCTCCTCTTCCTCATGGGGGGGATGAGTCTGGCGGAGAAGTAGGTGCCCTGTGGTTGAGGGTGACTCCAGCACAAAAAGCAGCACAGCATCATCGGAATCCATGTCAGTTGCACTCAGCTGAAGGGGCAGGATGGGCACCGTTTCCCCCTCTGCCAGCGTCAGTCCAGTATTGGCATTGAGGACCGGTGGTTGGTCATCCACAGGCACTAAGGTGATAGGGAACAGGAACTGTACCTGGTGCCTGCCTCCTCCATCCATCATGCGAAGTACCAGGTTGTCACTCAGCGAGCCATCTCTGTCATCATGCTGGTAGACAACCTGACCAGCTGCCAGCTCAGCCACGGAGAAAGTCTTTGGAGCAATGCTACCAGAAGCACCCAAAATGACAAGGTGACCATGTCGGAGCCCAGCCACCACCTCCAGCTGCACTGCCTCTAGGTCATCCTCATCACTGATGACTAGGTTTTGTGATCCACCATCTGCAGGCCCGGTGAGGGGCCGGGCCTGACCCTCATAGAGAATAAGACCAGTGTTCCGGGTGACCACTGGAGCCAGTGTGTTCATGGGCTTCACCACTACCATAAAGGCAAAAGGGTCTGAGGCTGCTCCTTCTGGGTCCACTACCTCCAGCTCCAGCTCAAAGAGACGCTCCTGGTCCGAGTCCTCAGAGGGGGGCTGGTAGGCTATTTTCAAGAGGCGCAGATCCCTCTGAGTGAAGGAGGAGAGTGGCAGGCTGCGGTCATCAGTGCTCACCAAGTAGCCCTGGCCAGGCTGGAACGGAGAAGTGAGGTTGAAGATCAGCAGGTCAGGGGCAGATTCAGCATCCTCAGCTGCCAGCATGTCTGGGGTCAGGGCGGTCAGCACGAACTGGTCCACCTCCATCATCATCATGGCCACAAAGCTCGGCTTGGGGGCGGTGTTCTCAGCCCCTCCTCTGATCCTCACCAGCACCTGGAAGTGCTCCCGTTTCAAAGCAGGACTGCCCACAGGAGCCCCTCGCGGACGTAGCTCTACCACCATGGGCACCCAGTCCCTGTTTGGTGAGCGGCTCAGGGCTGTGTGGCGGTAGCGCACGCCCAGCTCCTGGAAAGCTTTGCAGTCCATCAGCAGAGGCTCCGGGGCGCCTCCCTCTGTGGCTTCTCCAGGGACCTGCGGATAGTGGAGCAGTTCTCCATAGCGAGGGAGTGCGCTCAGTCCGGACAGGATGCCCACGCGGCACTCTTCCGTCTCTGGCTCATAGGCAAACTCCAGGCTCCGTGCGTCCAGAGCATTACTGGTCCCCAGAAGTTCTTCCACGACCAAGGGCAAATTCCGAGTTACAACCTCCAGCTGGCTGAAAACCACCTCTACTTGTAGCACCAGCGGCAGCACGAGGGCCCCTCCCGGCGCGTCGTAGCGCAGCTGCAGCCTGACGCGGTCCCGCGACGGGCTGCGCGCGCCCAGGTGTGAGTAACGCACCTCTGTGGGGCCGAAGTCGCAAGGAAAGCGCTTGGGACTAAGGCGACCCGGTCGCTGGGCCAGCGCGTCGTTGTCCAGCACCGTCACTGAGCAGCGGTCCCCTGGCTGCACCTGCAACACCAGGTCCTGCAGTGGATCCAGCCATACCTCACGGCCGAACGGAACGCGGAGCCCGCGGTTCTCCAGCACTATGGCTTCTTCGGCAGGGACCCCTGCAGCCCCAGAGAGACCGGGGGACAGGAACGCCCGGCCGGGGTCTGCGGGCTGTGCTGGGACGCGGCTTACCAGTGACAGGAGAAGCAAGAGCAGCAGCCGCTGCCGTGGTGTCCGGTGTGCGCGGGACGCGATTCCTGGGGTACCAGCGGCGTGCATGGTCTAGGTGTTGGAGTTCGGGCAAGACAGCCCGAAAGCGTGCAAATCTGTCCCCAGGCAGGCAATCAGAGACAGCTCCAGAAAAGTGCCAGGGACTCCGCAAGCTGCCTGGGAGGCGCTGCTGGAGCCGAGGTTGGGTCCCCAGGATGGGAAAGTTCGCGCGGCGCAGGCGGAGCTGGAACCACAAGCGAGGAGGAAGCCCTCGCAGTTGGTCCGGCTCCGCCGCTCGCGGCTCAGTGGCGCGGAGAACTGAGCCCCTCCACTCCTCCCTCTCAGGTCCCGGGACCCTGGGCTTTGAGGGAAATCCCTCCTCTCGCACCCCCTTTCTCCAGGCGTCCCGGGAGGCCAATCGCTGGTCCCGGTAGGAGGCCCCGGCTCAAGGGTTGGGTAGTGATTTCTGCCAATCAGCTCGGAGGGGCCGAGGCGGGGAAAATGCGGAGAGGGGCGGAGACGGGAGGCGCGGCAGGTTGTCTTTTTGAGTATGGGGAGCAGTGGCTTGGGCTGCCCACGCTCGCTCGCACGGGGCTCCGCGCCTTTGGACGCGGAGCTGTAGGCAGAGGCGGCCGCGCTGGGCTCCCTTCCTAGTGCGCCTGCGGCTGCGTATCGCCCCGAGGATTGCTGCAGTGGCCACACTCTCCCCTCCCCGCCCGCTCCGTCTGTTCAATGAAAACCCGCGCAAACGCAAGGTCTTTGCTCGAGCAAACTTGCCGACTAGCGAGGAAGGCGAGCTGCAAAGCCGCTGGAGTTTGAATTAGGAACCCAGTGAAGTTTGAAAATAATCTTTGGAGGGTCGTATTTAGAAAAGCAGGACAGCTGCAAATCACAGTTAAAGCTAGAGCAGGTGTCATGGCCCGGCCCCAGGCTACCTTCTCCTTAACTTACAACGGGCTCAGTCCTAGATGGGTGAGTTCTTAACAAGCCCCTCCTTTGCAATCAAAGTTCACCGAGTAGAAGGGGGGGAGGAGACGGGGAAAGAGGGCATGTGGAATGCGTGAGAAATGCAGTCTGATCGGAATCGCGAGTCTCGCACCGGGGAGCAAAGCCCCAGGCGCCCCCAAAGCCGCCACTGGACTGGGAGCTGTCAGGAGGGGACGTTCCCATTCTCTTCGCGGTTGTTAGCCCAAGCACCGGACTAAACCCACTTGTCAGCATCATGTTTCTCTGCGTGCCGGGAGAACTTAAAATTATCCCCGAGGGCGAAGGAAAAATAGTTCCGACCCCGTCTAGGTTTGTGGGCTTTGGTTCGAGCTTGAGCGCTTCCCGCCCCCTGGTGTTTGCCGGGTTTTAGAGGCCTGAGGATTCCTCTCCGTTCCCCCTCCCCCAGATTCCCCTCTGAAGTGCAGCCCAGCCTATTCAAGTGGTGTCCTGAGCAATCTTGCTTGTCAGATTCAAGCATGATGTATTTTAGATAATGTTCTTTTTTCCTTAATAATATGAACCTGATTTTTTTTTAAAGATTTAGTTATTTGAAAAGGAGAGAGAGAGAGAGAGAGAGAGAGAGAGAGAGAGAGAGATCCATCCTCTGATAGACAATGGCAGGGCTCCACCAGGCGGAAGCCAGGATCCAGGAACTTCTGGGTCTCCTACGTGGGTTCAGGGGCCAAAACGCTTAGGCCATTTTCTGTTACTTTCCCAGACATATTAGTAGGGAGCTGGATAGGAAGTGGAGCAGCTGAGACTCAAACGGGAGCCCATATGGGATGCTGGCACTACAGGTGGAGGCTTAACCATCTGCAGCACAAGCTCTGGCTCCACAAATCTGATTATGATCAGGAATATAGAACTGGAATTATCTACGGCTTGCTATTTTCCTGATTAAACGTATTTTGAAAAGACAGGGGGTGTAAGAAACTGCTACAGCGCTTTTACATTGCAACCTAAACGGAGGGTAAAAGGTGCACTTGTGGTCCTTTCAGTAACAAGTGCCTATCCTGTTATCCCTTTTGTGTTTTTAGATTGAGCTCCTCTGGACCAGGATATTCAGCCCTGCCTGAGACTTTCAGAGCTGTTTTTCCTATGTTCCAGCACAAATTCAGCATGGAGGTACAACTGGGATGCTGTGGCAAGAAGTCCATGGTGAGTCCACCGTGTAAAGTTCTGACATCATTCAAAAGGAAGCAAGAGATTGATTTAAAGGAGCCACTAGACCAAGCAACCAAACCAACCACGTTTAGTTAATACACTATTACTTGAGTTGATTCTATACATTCTGCACTGTTTGGGGATGATGCTTAATTCCTACTTACAGTTGAGGGATACATTTCACAATTTATTATGAGGTGAGCCTGCAGGGACATGGAAGGCATCTGGCCAATACTTCAGACACCTGAGAAAAAGCCCATTCAACTCTCACCTATTTCTGAATGTCTTGGGCACTATTATTTTGCAGCACATCGTGACTATTATTGCATTCATAATTCAAATTTCAGAGACATAGCAAAATCTTACTATTTCCTGTTCACAAATAGAAAGGTGCCAAGTGAAACAGAAAATTAATTTCAGACCATTAAGTTTAGAATACTCATTTCTTTATAAGTTTCTTTATATGTTTCAAATCTTGGTTATGTGATTTATTGAAAAATGTCAATGGGAAGGCAAGTGGCCTTTATCCAGTCTCTGTGACCCAGGGTGAGTTCTGACTAGAGCCAGACCAACAGCCTGACCCCCGGTGCTTCCCAGTGTCTCCAGGGTTTTCCTTTCTTCCTTTTAAAGTCCAGCTCTGTTTGACTTGCCAGCCACGATAAGATCAGCATTTGAAGTATGGTAGTATGCCTGAAGGGCAGAGTTCAATATTTTGTTTCTTGGTGAGAAGAATACAGGCCCACATCTATTTTTAGCCCAAGGAAATCAATAAACTATAATCTTTTTTGACTTTTTAATTTGGTCTGCCTTGATTGAAGTGATAGAAAGATTCTTAGGCATTTTTCTTTCTTTTTTATTTTTTGTAAATGCCTTAGCTATTTTTAATCAGATATAAGACAATGCATTTCAGAATTGACTCAAATATGTTTTGAATTAATGAAAGCAAATATTATTAACAAAGACCATTTTTCTTTGGTAATAGTTCAATGATAAAAGATCTCTATAAATTATTAAGGAAATCTTTTCTGGTTACGAGTCTCAATATCTTAAGGAATAAGGTAATTTAATAAATGCATAATTTTTCAAAAATCTAAACTTAACTTTTCAGTTTTTATTTGAGGCTTTTAACACTTCCTATCCATCCACATGGCAAAATACCCTTTGTTTACTATTTGAAAAATCACACCAAAATATCTCCTCAAAACAAGTTAATTTAAACTTATTGACTGATGAAATGCAAATTATTTTTTACCCAATGAGCTAAGGTGATGAATTTCAGATTCAGGTAAAATATTCAGGTAGAAATTCAGGGTTAGTCTTCACCTTAAAAGTCACATGGCAGTTAAAGATACATCTGGTTAATCTTTTTCATATGCACACACCACTTAATGAAGAAATTCATTTCAGTGAATAAGGTGAACTCCCGAATAACGCATATCAGCACAGTCAGAACTCTGAATGCACTCCTGTCCGTCAGACACATGTGATCTCCCACCCCTGAGCAGCCTGGGATCTAACCTGGGATCTAACAGTCTTCCTTGATTATCTTTATAGTTTATCACTCAGGTATGCATCCTTAATGTCACTTAGTGTTGTCTCTCTAAACTCTGTATGAGTAGGATTGAACTGTATATATTCTTTTATCTTTTTTTTTGTTCACCCATGCTGCTATGCATAGCTATTAGTTTGCTCATTTTCCTGACTATGTAGCATTTACTTGTGTAATCATGCCTGAATTTATTTATCCTTTCTAGTGGAGATCACATTTGGGTTATTTCCACCTGGTTAAATATTGAGTATTACAGATTTCATTATAGACTTTATTCACTTTCCTTATGTTCTCTGCTTGTTCATAAGACACTCATGGTGGAGATTTCTTCACAGACTCTTTAAAAATATGTTAGTCCCTCCTCAGTATCATCAAAGGCTCCTCTTCCTTCTCACCCAAATACCAAAATTCAAGGATGCTCATGTCTCTTATATAAAATGGTGTAGTGTTTCAATCAACAGTTTGCAAATCCTCTCACATTAAGTCATCTTTAGATTTCTGATAATACCTTAGACAATGTTAATGCTGTGTAGAGGGTTGTTATGCTGTATTGTTTAAGGAATAATTATAAGAAATGAATTTTTGGACAGATAAGTTTTTTCTAAATATTTTTATTCCACATTTGCTTGAATCCAACCTGCAGACAAAAAGGACCAATTGTATTGGTGATTGAAGTTTGGTGCCAAGTGTCTTTACTAGGTTTCAACATATTTTTATTCTTCAATAGCTTCAAATCCATGCCTAAAAATATAAACTTGACTGAATTCAGAGCAGCACGGTAGGGGTGAAGACAAACAACCCTGAACTAATTAACCAGGAACTGGTACAGCCTTGGTGCTGAAGTCCACTAACTATATGACATGCGACATTCTTTGCAGGTTTTGCAACTGCTGCATCCTCAACTCTACACAAAAGGAAATTAATCCTTTAAGACAAGTCCTTTTTGGGTTCTGATATGCTGGGGCCATGAGATCCAATTTAAGAATGACCTGCTATTTTTCCTCCCCCAGTTCTGTGGTTACCATTGTTTCCAGAAAGGTTGCCTCGAATAATAAAAAATATATCAGGGCTACTAAATGAGAAAACTTGGGAATCAAAACGCATGCCCTTTGCCAATGGATAAATTAATTGTTCCTTATTTTCCAATAGTCTGCCTTTTAATTTATTTTAAATTTAAAGTTTTCAAGTCTAATTTAAGTTAAATTTTTAATACAGAACAAGGATGGACATTTGACCTAGTGGCTAAGACACCTGTGAAGACAATCACACCCCTTTTGGAGTGCCTAGGTTCAATACCCAGCTCTAGCTCTCAATTCTAGCTTCTTGTCGTTGCAGATCCTGGGAGGCAGCAGCGATGATATCGGAATATGGGGTGCCAGACGTTATCACCGTGAGCTTGTTAATAAATGCCTAATATTGATGAGCCTGTGAGTGTTCTTGCTTAATATTCAGAGAAGAATTCTGAATACTGGCATAAGTGAACAAGGCAGCATGATAATTTTAAGCTTTTTTTTTTAACTTTTATTTAATGAATATAAATTTCCAAAGTGCAGCTTATGGATTACAATGGCTTCCCCCCCCCCATAACTTCCCTCCCACCTGCAACCCTCCCCTTTCCCGCTCCCTCTCCCCTTCCATTCACATCAAGATTCATTTTTGATTCTCTTTATATACAGAAGATCAGTTTAGTATATATTAAGTAAAGATTTCAACAGTTTGCACCCACTTAGAAACACAAAGTGAAAAATACTGTTTGAGTACTAGTTATAGCATTAAATCACGATGTACAGCACATTAAGGACAGAGATCCTACATGAGGAGTAAGTGCACAGTGACTCCTGTTGTTGACTTAACAATTTGACACTCTTGTTTATGGCCTCAGTAATCACCCTAGGCTCTTGTCATGAGTTGCCAAGTCTATGGAAGCCTTTTGAGTTCACTGACTCTGATCATATTTAGACAAGGCCGTAGTCAGAGCGGAAGTCCTCTCCTCCCTTCAGAGAAAGGTACCTCCTTCTTTGATGACCTGTTCTTTCCACTGGGATCTCACTCGCGGAGATCTTTCATTTAGGTGGTTTGTTTTTGTTTTTGTTTTTGTTTTTTCCAGAGTGTTTTGGCTTTCCATGCCTGAAATACTCTCATGGGCTTTTCAGCTGGATCCGCATGCCTTAAGGGCTGATTCTGAGGCCAGAGTGCTGTTTAGGACATCCGTCATTCTATGAGTCGGCTGTGTATCCCACTTCCCATGTTGCATCGTTCTCTCCCTTTTTTATTCTATCAGTTAGTATTAGCAGACACTAGTCTTATTTATGTGATCCCTTTGGCTCTTAGTCCTATCATTATGATCAATTGTGAACTGAAATTGATCACTTGGACTAGTGAGATGGCATTGATACATGCCACCTCAATGGGATTGAATTCGAATCCCCTGGTATGTTTCTAACTCTACTGTTTGAGGTAAGTCAGCTTGAGCATGTCCCGAATTGCACATCTCTTCCCTTTTTTATTCCCACTCTTATATTTAACAGGGATCACTTTTCAGTTAAGTTTCAGCACTTAAGAAGAATTGTGTATTGATTACAGTATTCAATCAAAAGTATTAAGTAGAACAAACAAACAAAAATACTAAGAGGGATAACATATTAAGTTGCTCATCAACAGTCAGGGTGAGGGCTGATCAAGTCACCATTTCTCATAGTGTTCATTTCACTTTAACAGGTTTCCTTTTTGGTGCTCAGTTAGTTGTCACCTATCAGGGAGAACATGTGGTATTTGTCCCTTTGGGATTGGCTTATTTCACTCAGCATAATGTTTTCCAAATTCCTAACAGGGATCACTTTTCAGTTAAAATTTAAACACCTAAGAATAATTGTGTGTTAATTACAGAGTTCAACCAATGGTACTAGAACAAAAAAAATACTAAAATGGATAAAGTATTACATTGTACATCAACAGTCAGGACAAGAGCTGATCAAGTAATTTTAAGGTTTTTATTCAGTGAGAGAAATGCATAGGAGAGTGAGGGCCCTATCTAAAAGAGAGATAAATCTGGATCCGTACAGAGTATCAGGAGCTAGCCCTGTGGAGGAGCATGTAGGCCAGGAAGCATGGGGTGGGTGGCCCAAAGGCCACACGCCCTGCAGCTGCAGGGGCAGGGGCAGCACAGGCTGCAATGACTAAAGGCCAAAAAGAAGGAAAAAGGGCGAGGCACACCTTGTCCCAAGCTTTTAATCCACTTTCAAAGGGGAGTGGTTAATGAGCCTGATTGGCTGGTGGGCAAATAGGTGTGGCCAGGTAGTGGCATGAGGTCACACAGGAGTGTGGTGAAGGCGTGGTCTTCCAGCTCACAAAGCTAATCAATTTTATCCTGTATGCCTGCCTACATCACTGAAAAATCACCTACATGAAAAACCTGGATTGAATTCCTTGCTTCTAGCTTAAGCCATGGCTGAGCCCTGGGCATTTCAAGCATTTGAGGAGTGGACAATGGATAAGAGTGCCCCTCTCACTGCCCCTAACCATATAAATATATGAAACTTCTAAAAATAAAATATATGAAGCAACACTTATATTCATTGATGTGGGCAACTTAAATTACTTTTTCCATGACATTCCACTGTTTTATTTGTTTGCTTATAAATTTATTTATTTGTATAAAAAGAACAGATTTCACATATTTCATATATACAGTTTTAAGAACATAATGAAACTTACTACCCTCCCTCCCTCCCTCCTTCCCATCCACTCTCTCCTAGATAGCTATTTTTTATCTAAAGAAAAATGGAATGAAAATTAGTGGTATAAAACTAAATTAGACTCATAATAAGGATATGCAAATTTTCAAGATGCCTCTATTGTTAAGTGACACAGATGGCTTCACAAGCACCCAGACTTTGCAGACAGAGCTGTGTATAGATGGGAGTCTTCTAAGAAGAAAGAACACTGGGGTGTGAGCCAGAAAAATGAGGAAACTGTTTTTGCCACTTGCTTCTTTGGAGCTCAAGACCATTCACTATATCCATCTCTGAAAATGTGTTATCAGGGAAGGGGGAATATATACACAAATATAAGACATATTTGGTTTTATGCATACTTACATAGCCAAAGTGGAAATTAAGAGAAATTGTCATTGTTTTCAAATACCTTCTCTCTTTCTCATTTTTCCAAACCTGTATCTTAATGCCTTACTCATGATAAATTGGAATATTTGATTATATTTGTAATAAATGACAATATATCTATTAATTACATATATTCTCCCACTTGTATTTTCAGTGTTTGTAGTTACTTCTTCTTTGATTACAATCATGCTTTTATTTTGTAGTAAACAATCTCCCTCAATAGTGATACAGCCTTAACCTATGCACACATCTTGCTCTTTTTGAATCTTGCTGAATAATTTTTATCTGCATTTTCAACTTTCTCATCCAACTAACTTATGAACATCTTATAAGGTGACACTCACCCTAGAATTCCAGTCATTCTCCACAACCCATCATTAAGTTGAGGAGAATTGCGCTTCTCTCCACAGTGTCTTTCTCTACAGTCTTCTCTTTTCTATACCACAGCTCTAGCCCCGTCAAGCCCTTCTTTTGTTCATAGAATTTTTGTTAAAATCTTTTCTGGCTTCCTCTTGCCTATCTGTTGAAATGTATTGTGTTCATCTTTATATTCCACACTAGACTACGTGTTGCTCTGTGACTGAGTCTTCTGTCTTGTTTCTAGACCTTTTCTTGTCTCATACGTTTTTACATTCACTTCATAGTTCATCCTGATTCTCCTATTGGCAATGCTCTCATACAGACCTTTGAGAATCAATCAGACCTTTTATAACTCTAAGAGCCTCATAGGCCATTTATTCTAACTTCCTTGTTTCATATGTAGGGAAGCTGAACAAAGAGGACTAAAACCTGGGCATTGAGCTGGAGCGGAAGAGAAGTTTTTTTGTTGGTCCTGAGGTCTGTGTCCATATTCTGTGTTATGCATCAATCCAATGTTTAAGACACTTCCTTTCCCATGGATTCTCATTCATCCACACAGCTTAAAATGAGTTGTGCTTCTTGTAACTCCTTTTGCCATTTTCTTATTTCTGCACATACGCCTCTGCTTCTATTTCTCTCATGAGACCGCTCTTACCACACGTTTTGTTAGGCTCATCTCTGTTCTGTGTCTCTTACTCTTTGGAAAGCATCTTGAGTTCACACCCGAACCTTGCTCATCCTTCACATCCAAAAATCCTTAAGAAATACTCGTGACATTAGATTCCACAGTCGTATTTACTTGCAATAACTCAGCCACACTTCACAGCAGCTTCACATGGTATCTGAGTATATTGCTCAGTTTTCTTAGTGGCACTCAACAGAAACTCACTTTAGCTAAATTAAGGAAAATGAAATGAAAAGATATTAGATCACTCTGTATTTTCTGTTACGATTTGGAACCCAAAACAGGCCACCAGAAGCAAACATACGGCTTGGTAATGGTTTAGTTGTGGTGGCACTGTGGGCACTGCTGGACGCTGGGCCTGCAGGTACCCTGCTGCTATGGCTGGCACCCAAAACAAATCCACATTCCTGAAGTCATTGGCCATGCTGCTTTGGACTCAGTGTATCACTGGAGTTACAGACTAATGAATTATTCTCTTTCCATGTCCTGGTGAATTCAGGAGTCTGGGTATGACAGGATTCTCCAAGCTTAAGCCATAGACTCAAGGACAAAATCATGGGGAAATAAGTATCTGTCCCTTTAGGCCTCCTGGTGTTGAGTGACTCCCCTTCTAAGAGTCCTACCATGGGGATTCCACCTGCAGGAAAGAGGTTTATTTCTGAGGGAGCCAAACACATACGCTGCTTATAGTAAGTAAGTAAGTGTCAGTATCACCACCTTATGTTTGAGAAAACTGATACATTGCAGAGTTCAATGATTTTCCTCAAGTTTGTGTAGTTATTGACCAAATTAGAACTAAATAAATTAGCTAAAATAGCATCAAATCGAAATAATTAGAATTGAAATCACCTAACTACAAGTTGGTATCTCTTATTTGAAATGATTGGGACCAGAAATGTTGGATTTTCTAAGATTCTAGAATATTTGCATAATGAGATGTCTTGGGGTTGGAGCCCAAGTTATAGCATGAAATTCATTGACGTTTTATATATATATATATACATATATATATACACATAAATTTATATATATATATGTATACACATAGCCTCAAGGTAATTTTACATACTACTTTTAAAGATTTTGTTTATTTATATTCTTTAAAAGGCAAAGATACAGACAGACATAGATCTTCCATCTATTGGTGCACTACCAAGATGCCTGCAACAGCCAAGGCTGGGCTAGGCTTAAGCTGAAGATGGGAACTCAATCTGGGTCTCCCATGTGGATGGCAGGGCCCAACCACAAGAACCATAACTTACA